TCTGGCCTTAAAATGGGCAATCACCGATCAATTCAGGAACTACTTATATTATGCCCCCTCACTCAAGATCTGCACAGACAGCAATCCATTAACGTACGTTATGTCAACAGCCCGATTGAATGCTACAGATATAAGATGGGTGAGTGAGCTCGCTGACTATCGCTTTACTGTTCATTATCGCCCTGGTAAGAGTAATGGTGATGCCTATGGACTAAGTAGACTGTCGCAAGATCTTGATCAGATGGAAAAGGAATGCACATCTGAGGTTTCACACGACCTTTTCCAAGCCAACGTTCATACAGTAGCCGGAGTTAGTGACAACGCCGGACGGCTGACCGCTATACACAAATCAACAATAATTGCCGAAGTTGATCCATTAAATGTCGTCAATGGAAAGAACAAATCAGGACAACAGATTGATACATTACATCAGCAACAGTGTGATGCAGATATTCGACCAATTCGCGAATGGAAAGAGCAAAATTCGATGCCAACAGAAGCAGAAAAATCAGCACAAAGTCACATCACTAAGCGCCTACTCTTTGAATGGAACAAGCTATTTCTTGACAATGATGGTATATTGCATCGACAATGTGGTGATATCAAACAAATCGTCCTTTCGAACAATCTACGTCGCACTGTTTACTCTGAGCTACATGAGAAGATGGGTCATGTCAGATCTGACAAAGTTCTTAGTCTTGCACGTGATCGATTTTTCTGGCCGCACATGAAATCTGATATAGAACATTTTGATAACAACCAGTGTCGTTGTCTCAAACAGAAGAAACCCACTCTTACTCAGCGAGAACAATTGACACCAATCATCATCTCAATTGACTTTCTGCACTTAGAACTGTCATCTGGAGGATTTGAATACATCCTGGTAGTTGTCGATCATTTTACTAGATATGCTGAAGCATACGCCACACGGAATAAAACTGCCAAAACTGCTGCAGACTGTTTGTTGAAAAATTTCTTCATGCATTACTGCTTTCCAAGACGAATACACCATGATCGTGGTGGCGAGTTCCAAAACACGTTATTTCAACAACTCGAGCGATTGTCAAGAACCGAAAGCTCAAGAACGACTCCTTATCATCCTCAGGGCAACGGTAAAGCTGAGCGTTTCAATCGTACCCTACTTGGAATGCTTCGAACATTACCAGAACAATACAAGTCACGATGGAAAGACCACCTTCCCAAACTCGTTCACGCGTATAATTGTACTCCACACGAGTCAACTGGCTTTTCACCATTCCAGTTAATGTTTGGACGTTCTGCAAGATTACCAGTCGACTTATTGTTTGATACACCGAAATCTAGACAAAAGCAGACATCGATCTTAAGTTGCTGACTGGAAGGAAGCGATGCAAAACGCTTATGAAATCGTCATGAAGAACTCCAGAAAGGCGGCCGACCACAACAAACAACAACACGACAAAATAATTCGAAGCTCTGTGCTTGATCCAGGAGACCGTGTCTTGGTTCGAAACATATCTGAAAGAGGTGGCCCTCTGAAAGATTAGATGCATATCATTGTTCGCCGTTTGTCTCAAAGTCCTGCTTACAAAGTTAAACCCGAGAAATCAGATGAACGCTTGAGGACCCTGCATCGTACCGTATTGTTGCCATGCGACTACCTGGAACTGAATCCTACACCACAACACCGGCACAACCATCCTCGACAAAATTCCTGTCCACGCAATAGAGTCGCATGCCAAGACTACCAGCAAGAAACTGATGAGGAGGAAAATCAAGACGACTCCAACACCTTTCCATTCTTTTTGCTAAACGCCATACCATCGTTACACCATGAATTCAACCGTGCATGCCTTGATGAAGATACTCTTGATGCGCAAAATATGAACCCAGAAATCAACACTGATTCAGTAGAGAACCAACTAGAGCCAACGGCTTCTGCTCGTAGTAGATCACAATCACTATCTGAAGAACATGACAGGATATCTTTATCCGACGAAAATGATCCCGATCTCGATGACAATTCAAGTGAAGTAGGCAACAGTGTTCAGGATTCACCTAACGGATCGCAATCACCTCACGCTGAACAATCGCAACGACCAGTACGTCAAAGGCAACCACCAGTTCGACTAATGTATAATGACCTCAGAAACTCGAACTCTGAACAGCAATTTTTTTGTGCATTCTGCACATGATCAGTCGCATAACTTACCTTTGTTTCATCACCGATTTGCAGCTGTGCCAACATTCTTACCGCGTTGCTTCGAACCTCCACCACTCTACAACAGAGTCGTTCCTCTGGAACAAAATCTTAATCGATTTACTGCACCGCCTCTTTATCCGAATCCATTCTTCAGAACACCAATTGTTTGAACTGCATTACGTTTTACTTGCAATTGAATTATGACTAGTAACTAAATTTGTTTGTTGAGAAAAGGACTCGAAAGAAGTAAAATATATACCCCGGAAGCTCTTGTCATAACCAGGTGGTTAAATCCTAATACTTGTTATTGATATTACGAACTGCGTAACGAATATATGATGGATGTTATTTGATACAGATCGTCGGATATGGAAGGGAATGAACGCGCGCTAATTCCGCTTCAACTATATAATTGCCAGAACTTTCTCAATGTTGAGGACAACATTTTTAAAGAGGGGGAGTGTGTGACTGGTTGATTAGGGGACCCCCCGTATTTTTTTGAAGACGTTGTAGTGAAGCCGAACTCTAGAAGAACGTTATTATTGAGCCACACTTGTATATTTTGTGCATAGTTTTATGTTGAATTAGATTGAAAGAAGCTCCTGGGATTGGTGATATTCTTTGTTGTTATTTCTTTATTATATGTACGGTTAGACCGGGCATAACCGTCACATCAGCTTCAAATCATCAGATATAGCCAAGGAAGCTGCACTATACACGCAGTTCCCATCACCTTTTACCCTGAGTTTTCAAAAAATTTGCTGAGTCTTTGAGCTCTAGAGTGTACAAATTGGTACTAAAAAGTAAAGTTTTTATAGAAATTTACTGGCCTGTACTCTGTATTTCTATACATTTATCTCACAATGACCTATGGCACAGCAGACACGATCAAATCTTATCAAGGGTGTCATTCTTTGTCAAGGATATAAATTACAAATTGCAAAATTTCAAGGATCACGATATTACACTAGGTGAGCAAAAGTACAGCACCACCCCCCACAACATGGCCGCACCGCTGCGAAATTTCTATTGGCTAAAGTTGTTGTATTCAAATAGCTAAAGCAAATTAAATAAAAGTTTTAAAATGACCGTTTGGGTGGGAAATCATGAGAAATGTATCAAGGTAGAGTAACGAAAATTAATAATGCAAATATATCCTTTAATTCTTTTTATTTTTAAGCCATATCAAACACTGCAAAAACATGAAAACTGAGCTCTGATGATAGGAGTACCTGAATATGTTTGCAAAAAAACGGTTTTTCTTTGCAAACCCAGTAAGATTTCATTAAAGCGAAATTGGAAATACTTACTTCTTGCTTGGTTGCACAAAACTTTTTATTTTTCTGACTCTTATAGACCTTTCCTGAAAGCTATGATGTAACGTTCTGGGGTGTAGAAGAAAGTGTGAAGTCATGGTGGCCAACAGTAGCAAACACGTTGGTGCAGAAGAATTGATTGATTTTCCATTGTCAGATCCTGATAGACTATTGTTTGGAAGACTGTCCGCGACTTTTGATCCTTTAAGCCCGAAGGCTAAAAACTAACTTACTAACTACGAATACGAACCTAATTTATACTGTTAACGACGTAAACAACTTTAAAATGTTGTCACTAGTTTCATTGTCCATTACGCAAGGGATTAACAAATACTGTCCTCTAAAGACTCATTAACACTTTCTACTAACCAACCATTGTCCAATTTAACGCAAAACAACTTGCTCAAACAACTATTGTGTCCAAACGCGTAAACAAGTTTTTCGAATAATAATTATTGTTCCAATCAACAATTGCAAAAATGAATGTATCACATGTTTGTCTTCTAAACAACCATTGCCAATTGTCAAAAAAGCTGACTCCAAATGTGATTCTGATGCTAGTGAAGATTTTTGTTGCCGATTTATTCCGTTCTGTTGTGTTAAACTTCTTGAAAAAGACATGTCTGACTTGGGGAAATGCTTGAAAGAAATGCCTCTCTTCACCATAAAGGATATAGATAAATCATTCTGTGTAACCTGGGAAAATGGAAAGCTCATCCTTAAAAAGGATCATCATGATTGTTTTTATACAAGAATACAGCTAGAAATGGGACTTTGTGGTGTATCATTTTGTGACTTTCTGGTTTACACTTTAAATTCCTTTATTATTGTGAGGATCCAATTTGTTGAAGATTTCTTTACAGATGTTTTATGCAAGCTAAATGATTTTTATGTGAACTTTCTATTACCAAGTATAATGGAAAAGATGACTTTATCAGAAGAGGAAGAATTATCCTAATGATAATAATGTTGTGTATTTGCATTATACTTTGTTTCTGAGATTCTTTTGATTCTTTATTAGAGGCATTGAGTCATGGTAAATAGGCCTTCTCTATAGGTGGTCTTTTAGTTTCGGCGTGGTGATATTGGCATCCAATGTTGACAACTTTCTATTAATGGAAACTGTTTTGTCAATCAGTACGAGGTGAGTTCATGTGACCAGTTCCAGGTCAACCAATAGCATCGCAGTCATGAAAATCATGACTCAGCGGATTTTGACACTTAGGGTATACCCAATCCATTTTATCATGACTCAATGCCTTTAAATTAGCATGAGTATAGGTAGGCCCTAATAAGCCAAGGCACTATTTCAAAATAAAATACTCTTATCAAACTCAAACGTGTATCTTCGTTTAAGACAGTTAAAAATTTGAACAAAACTATCAACTAATTAAAAGGTAAATTTAAGGTTCATGTATGAAATTTAAAAAAGCAATCAGAGATGCAATGCAACTGATAAGCCTGGTTTCCATATAATCGCAAGGAGTCGCAATGAGTTGCCTGCAATTCTCTGTGATTATATGGAAACCGGTTTAAAATTTGTGTGCGACTGCTTGTGATTCCTTGCGACAGGTGTCACAAGCAGTCGCAGAGATAGAAAATTTTCTATCTCTGCGATTCGTTGCGACTTGTTGCAACTCGCTGTGATTAATGGAAACCACTGTTCACAAATTTTTTGCAAAATTTCGCAAAGCCAGCAGCCAAAAACAGATTCAAGAAAGATTAACACAAGGTCATGGGGAGGGTCCAAAAAAAGGCCTTCCAAACAGGATGTTGACATTGCACTTATCGAGACAGCAAAGTCAGTAGCAGAGGCCAGCAACAAGTTATCACCTGGCTTTCAGAATGCAAAAGATGTGCCTGAAGATTAAAACAGCCTATTCTGTCGAAGCTTGGTGCAAAGGAGGCAGAGAATCCCTCCACAAATGAAAGCTTTGGTAAGATGCTAAATAGAGCAAATATTTTACCAAGCAGAATTTGGTGCTCAAGTGCCAAGGGTAGGCCCCAGTACATTTGGTCATAAATTTCAACAAAACCAGTTTGCATCATCTGCAGAGAACACATGTCAAACAAACACATATTCTCCACCAACAAGCAATTTCAAGTATGGAAGTTTTCTGCAGCAGAACAGAAGTGCATCAAGCACACCAAATTCTGAAGAAGAAACTTACACTAAACTTGGATTGGCAACAGGAGCTTGCAATTATGCTGGCCAACAATATTGTCAATAAGCATTGGTCCAGAGACAAATCAAATAACATTTTTTGTGTGTGAACTTACAAACATGATTAAGAGAAACACTTAGTCAAAATTTTTAACTACAGTAAAAGCTCTATTAAGCTCCCCTCTCTCTCAAGCCCCCTTTTCAAAACAATCCTTGGGGATACTGATATTGATTATTTTGATGCTATCCTGGAGGAAGATAATTGACTGTGTGATTCATTGAAGTTCCAATTTATTTTACTATTATTTTATACAAACATTTTTCTTAAGTTTATTTGAGAATTTATGGCACCTTGCAGATTATTTATTGCAATAAGATTAATGTACTTTGTCTATGCTGAAATACTGCAAAATAAGCAACATTTTTTGCTTTATAAACTGTTATAATGGAGTATCAGATGTGTTCAGTTTATTTTGATCCATGAACCAGGCCACAGCTCCGCACATAATTCAGCTGCCAAGGGAGTGAGCCAGCTTCACCGTTGAAGTAAGCTTTGAATGATTGACGTGTCTTTTCTGCCTCAAAAGTGTATCTGTTGCCGTATATCTTTGGATGGTTGGTTAGGCCAATGCTGTCTTCCCTCATTACATTACGCCATGAGCCAGGTATAATGCACCCTGAACTATCTTCAGAATCAATAAACCCAGAAGGGATGTAGCTGGCATTTTCAGTGAGCCTTAAATAATTATGTAAGCACAGGCATGCCTTGTGATGTTGTCTACAAGATCAACATTGGCTTTTATTGGTAGTCGAAAGATCCGCCACCTTGCTGCAAGTATGCCAAAGGCATTTTCAATGGTGCGTCTAGCCCGTGAAAGCCTGTAATTGTAAACTCTCTGTTGCTCTGATAGTTTCTTTCCAGGATAAGGCTTTATCAGCCAAGGTTTCAGAGGAAATATATCATCACCAATCAGGACATAGGGCAGTGTCTTGCCTCCATAATTTGATCCAGCTGGAATGCCAAGCTTAGTAGGAAGCTGATCAAATGCTCTTCCAACATCAGACTGCTGAAATACTGATGAATCATTTTCTCCTCCAAATGAACCAATATCAACAAAGGTGAAGCAATATTTTGCATCACATATGGCCATCAACACTAGGCTGTGATAGTTCTTATAGTTAAATGTGGCTGACGCTGCATTTTGTGGGCATTCTATGGTGATGTGTTTTCCATCAAGTGCCCCCATACAATTTGGAAAATTCCATTCTCTGTAAAATTCGTCTCCATGATTTACCCAGTCAGCTGTGGTTTTTGGATGAGTCAGGAATGTTTTGTTCAGTGCCTGCCAAAGAACATGGCATACCTCTCTTATTATTTTACAAGCAGTTGTTTTCCCAACTCTGAATGCAAATGATATGGACTGTTGACTTTCACCTGAGGCTAAGTATCGAAGGGTAATCATTAACCTCTCAGCAGGCCCAATAGGTTTTCTTGATTTGCAATGTTTTTTTCTGAAGCAGGGGGCCTACAGAACCAAGCAGATTCTCTAACCTTTCTGGGGACATTCTTGTGTACCTATAATGAAGACATGACTTCAATGTTTATATATAATATGGTGCAGTATTACAAACAGACAGGCAAAGAAAATATTTTCTGATTTTCAAATTTCAGCAAACATTTTGTAGTCTAACTTATAAACTCCAGAATCATATGCCTCTGAACTGCAGATTGTACATACATCTGACATTGCATTAAAAGTTTATCCTACTTAAGAAATTTATAATGAATTGAAATTAAGTCACTGTATTTTTCTGTTTCTCTTTCGCCTGACGCTGGAACTTTTTCCCTCCTACCCCTGCAGCTCATTCTCTAACAAAAAAACAAGTAAATATAGTTGAATGAGGTCTACGCAATAATGTGACTACGAGATAATTTCTTGCCAGTGTAAGGAATCCTTCATAGTTTGCCGCCATATTGCATGCAACTTTGCATTATCAGGTTTGGCGCCAGTTTGCAATGACGTCAGGTCACAACAAAACAATTGCAACACCTTGCGACTCCTTGCGACTATATGGAAACCACTATTTCGGGTCACAAAAATTGCAACTCTTTGCGATTCGTTGCGACTCTTTGCGATTTGTTGCGACTCTTTGCGATTTGTTGCGACTCTTTGCGATTCGTTGCGATTATATGGAAACCAGGCTATACTTGGAGACACATTACTGATTAGTAAGTTTTTGTGGTTTGTGGTTTTGAGGTTAATTTTTTGACTTTCTTTAACTTTCTTTAAATTAAGTGTAGCCAATTGTTTGAAGTTTTGTTTGATTGAGTTTTAATCATGGAATAACGCTTAATTGCTTCATAAAAGTGGTTTGAGTTTTGAATGGCATGTTGTTCTAGACGCTGATGCCATTTTTAATTCGTCGAAGTGGTGTAATACTTTTGCTTGGCTGAGGAAACTTTAGCTTCCCCACTTTTTGCAGAAAAATGCCAAATATTTAGCAATAAACTACCAGTAAAGCCTCTTTTAATACGACTTTAGCCCCCCTCCGACCGTTTTTAGACCCTCTACTTTTCTAAACGCTCTGCGATGGTTATATCATTTTTCATGCAGAAAATGCCAACCCTGAAATTTCGATTGAAATATCATTATAAGTGTATATAATGTGCATGATAAACAGGCCTAGACAGATATAGATATGAGTCCCGTCTTGAAGGTACTACTAATCGAAAGACATTGAAAAAAAATAGACTTTATTTACGTATAGGCTGGAGATTCGATAAAGGAGAAAATAGGAAAATATGAGAAGCAAAAGCAAAAACTTATTTGTCTTCAAACAGATTTGACGAAGAAACAAGGGACATCGCACAATCGTCAGAATCAAAACAATTGCTGGCATCCTGTCGATAGATAAATAAAATAGATTGACCATAGCCACCCAAATACTTCCCACGCCAGGAAGATATTAGATCCTTGATAGCAGGAATTTCAGATTTGATGTCTTTGTTATTTCATTATCTGTAAAAAGATGATTAAATGCAAATACAAACTACCCAGCAGTCAAACGATGATATTTCTGTTTAGGTCCAAGTGGATGTAAACGATCAAGTACTTTTAGAAAGTTTGTTATTAACACTGGTGCTACTGGTTTGCCACCAAAATTTACGTTCTACTTAATTAACAGCTTCCAAATTATAATTACTGCTTGCTAGGTCTTCAATTCTCCAATCTTCCAATAGAGATTTAGTATAATGCATGAAACAGAATTGTGATATGGGTGGTTGGGGAGTTACAAGTTTCGTATTATGCATGCTTTCTAATATAGCTTTGACATGAGCTCATATCTACAAAAGGATACATTTTCCAATTTTCAACAGATATTTCAATTTCATAATATTCATGAGACGGAATATGTGATTTTTCAGCTGTATCAACTGTAGGTATCACAAAACATTTTTCAATCGATCACAAAGTTGCTTTTTGTAGTATTAACGCCAATTTTTTTATAGAGGTATAGTTTAGTCCGCTCTTGATAATAAATTGTCATCAGAAATAACTTTGAAACGAAAAGAATCGTTATAAGCTGGATCAGGATCATGTATTGACATGAACAAGAGCGGATCCAGACTATAGCAACTGTAGCTCGAGCTATAGTCAAAATCTCCCTGTTTGATTTTCGGAATTCAAAGTTAAGTGTTAATTTTTCCTCTGCTGTCAAGCCTCTCAACATTTGAAAGCAGCGGTATAGGTTATCAAATGCGATTAACAAACATGCAATGCTGGCAATGTGTCATCACAATGCCTCTCCAGATAAGATATAAAACACTGAGCGCAGAATGGTCTAATATTAAAACAAGACGAATCAGAAGTTTCGTTCTTTTTTGACAGTAACCAACCAGAATTGAGCTACAGTGGATATTCCGAGCTATAGTCGGTCTGGGGATTTGCTCTGGAAAAGGCATCGAAGACAATGAAACCCGAAACCATAATTTTTGGCGCGAGCTATAGTAAAGCTATAGTCAGGTTTGGGAATGGCCTTTTAACCAATAGAATATGCATATCTACGGTACTTCTCCGCTCTCTGTCCCCTGTAAAGCAACAGTGGACTATAGCTCGTTTTCACATCCTGGGCCCCCAGTAATGTAGCCTCAAAGGCAAGGACCTGCTAGGGAATAGACAGGGACGGCGGAACGACCAAGTGGCAAGAAAGGGGGGGCAGGCTTGACTAAAAGGGCTTTTGAAAGATAATTCTCAGCTTCTACAAATTCATACGTAACTGCAATTTTATTTCGATCTTCTGAAGGGACCTTCAACATTGGCTAACTTTCGGCATCAGGAATTATCTTACATGTTTTGAGAAGTTCAGAATTTTATATGAATCTCTCTGATTATTACAATTGGCCAGTTTCAAGGGAACTTTATCAAAAACAACCCTTGCCCCTTCTGTCAAAGGGCAACAGGGGGCGGGTGTACCCCCACACCCCCTTCTCTGGCGTCCCTGGAAATAGAAAAGGGTGTTCGAAGGAATATTTATGAATACGAAGCAACTATAAACATAATAGAACATTTACTGAAAGGATGTAGTTTATCATGTTCACCTGAATGAGTTTTTGTTATATCATTCAATGGTGGAAATCTAGCAAATTTATCAGCTGTCATTACAAATGTTTCAGGTGTGGCCATCGTTTTAGACGTTTCTAATGATATAGCTAATTCTTCTATTCCAACGTAAAATGGTTGAATTGGTAGACTGCTGCTTTCTCCTTCTAAAAATGTTTGTGTGGCTGGAAAAATATCTAAATTTCGATCAAAGTTGTATCTGCAAACATTTTGTCACTTCGAGTGGAATGTTAATGTCTGTTTCCAAGTCTGCTTTCGTTACTATTCTCATAAAATTGAATTCTGTTATATTATCTATAATATGTACTATGTCTGTTGAGCATAATATTTTAGTAAAAATAATATAATCTAGTTCCATACTGGCTTGAATTTTACATTAATGTTAAAATACTAAAAAAGTGGTCATATCGACATCTAGTTTTTTTAAATGAAATGTTGATAACATTTTCCTTACTGTTTTAAATTCGTAATTTACTTGTTGAGTATTAGTTGTAGCATAGTCAATAGAAAAAGAATGGTCTGGAAACTCTATTGTTCGAAGATCGATATCATGATTCCACTAGGTTCCAGACTCTTAGAGTGCACCAAGTTGGTATGTTGTCTTGACTCAAGACAAGATAGAAATGAAAGCTGCCGAACCCGAAATTACTTTTGTATCTGAACTTGAGGTTATCGTTGATTTTATGGGTGATCAAAATTACTTTGATGATAATGAAGACTTCGAGAAAGAACCTGCTGTTGATATTTCTCTTGAGGTAACTTTATTCTATTTTATTCTAAACTTCAAATCGCTTATGACACGTCGGCGAGCCTTCTAGGCCTATTACCAACCAACCAGTTTATTGCATACAATCCAAGTGCTGTAAAAAACAAAAAACAAAAAACATGTTGGGGGTGGTAAGTTTTGAGCAAATACCTGTGTCATGAATATAAATTGTATTTGCTGATGATGTAACAAACCGGACATGGAGCATTTGGAATCAAATGTAGAACAATAAAACTACCTAGCCAAAAACCAACAGCATTGCGTTTTAGCAAGGCAGTATACTGGCCTGTATGATCTTACTGTCACCTATGATTGTCCAGTTTTTTTTGCAAAATTATAACAATGTGATTGAGAGAGGATATCTCTCATTTTCTAAAAAATAATCGCTGTACATGCTTACAACCAATGCACACAAACGCTAGTTGAGCATAATATGAAACTATGAGGTTATGAGATTGAAACATTAAAAATGTAGGTAAAATGCCAAAATTCAAAAGCTGAATATGACTATAGGGTTAAAAATGCAGGTACACAATTCAACTAAATTTAAATCCCAGCATTTTATATTTTAGGATGAGCCTGCTCCTGATCATTCACTTAGATGTACTGATTTTAAGAGGGTGTACAAGACAAGAAGGGGACTGGAAAAACACACTGAGATATGCAACAAAAAGAAAAATCCTGTTGATCAGCAAATTTTGGTCAGCCTACTCACTTAAGCTTTAAAAAAAGTTTCTCTGGATGAATGTTGCTCTGTAGAATAACAAGAAGATGTCGCAAAATGTATCATTTCTAATGACCAACCTCTTGTCAGTTCCAAACTGGTTGTAGAACTCTTTAGTTTACTGTGCAGTAAACTAGATATTGAGACATTTTATGTTGAATATATTTCACAGGTAGTTACTAAAGCAAATATATGGCTTCCTGACTTGAAAGAAGCTACAGCAGTTCAATTAGCCATGCAATATGGTGAAAAAATGGTTCACAATGCACATACACCTGCTGTTTCAGATGACATAGTTGTATGTGCGACTAGTCTCACATCAAAAGAAAGTCACTGAATTACCTACATTGGTGGATATGTTATCAGAAATTTGTGCCAAAAACAGGATACTGTGAAACAGCAATACTCCATTCTTTTAGATGCATGTCTACAGAAATTATCACAGAAGTCATCATTTAATCAAAATGACCTTGTTAGTACTTTGACAAGAGGAGGTTGAAAGTATAGAGATAACCGACATCCTAACAAGAATTTTTGAAACGGTTGAAAGTTACTTCAGAGCATATGTCTCAAAACAATTGGAAAAAGAAGAAAAACTAACTTAGGTGAGCATGTGTTCCATTTGAAAAACAAAATGACAATTAAAGGCAAGTTCCATGTTATAATTGAGAGATGTGAGCAAGAGGTATCTGACGAAATCGCCAGCAATTTTCTATAGGACATTTTGAACCCATATCTGAAGATAACGTGTTTTTCGCACTCAAAGGACTTGCTCCAGCACATTAAAGCAAAACAGAAATTAAGCAGAGGAAAGGCTCTCCGAAAAGGTTTAAAGAACAATGAAATGATGCAACAACTTAATAAAGATGACCACTCATTGCTATCATCTAGATATACCTTAAAGAAAGAAATTACTTGCACAATAAATTTTTGAAGAACTTATTTTTGTATTTTTAACCCTTTTACACAAAAACTTGTCCTGCCAAATTTTCAAAAACTCTTCCACAGAGGATAACATTTTTGAGGTACTGAATTATGAAAATACTATTTGCATAAATTTGTTGTGCAAATAATTTTAATATTTTAAGGTAATTTATGCAAAGTAATGCTTTTGACGTTTAGTACTTCTTTCGTTTTGCAAGTTTTGTTTCATCTATGTGAAACCATGATTTTTGTCTTCCTTTGTTAATCCCTAATGTATTTCCAGTCATTGGTGCTGTTGATCTGACAACTCGAATTGTATTATCGTTGTATCCAAATTGGTGGACATCTGGATGTGTTTAAAAGCTTTTAAAAATGAACTTTTTCTTTTATGTCTATTATCTTCTTTCGATCTAGATAATGGTGCAACACAATTTTTTTTGTAAATTGATCAGTCAAAACCAATATATATTCAACACCAAAAAAACCTTCCCTTATGTTATCTGGAGCAAATATTTTATGTCTCTTTGTAATTGCCTTTAGTTTAGAAGGTATTCTACTACAATATGCTCTGCCTACTAAAAATTTCTTAATCCTCCAAAAATACGAGGAAAAGAAGAATTTCTATAGAGAAAACTCAATTTCGAATTCAAGGAATCCATTTTATACAATTATAATAACTGAAATATTTGTTATTATTCTCTGATAAACATTAACATTCTCTGATAAATCTGAGCAATAAATGGTTGTAAACAGTGAACAAAGGCGTGTAGGTACACTGGTGGTAGACTCTTCTAGAGGCGTCCGGGTAAATGTCCCCTGAAATTTTTGATGGTTGCTAAATTTTTTCTGGTTGTTAAAATTGCGCTGTTGGCTAATTTGGTATAATTTAAACATAACTGATCTATCAATGCCATATGCATAAAAATGAATTTTTCTTAACCATAAAATATGCATTTCTTTAAATTTTAAAAAATTGGAAAATGAAAAACCTAAACTTACTAAGTTTGATCAAAACAGACACATTGTTACAAATAGATTTCTATTATCCCAATTATTTAAAGAACTTGACACTTGGCAAACGGAAGGCTGAAATTACCTTTCAATGTCAATCGACAGGCACCCACGTCCAAGGATTTCAAAATATGGGGCTGCCGTGATAAAAATTGTTCCACAACGCAGGCGCGGTTCCAGCCTGAATTCTGACCTATGCAATGCAAAGGTTGTCAGAAATAGAAGCCACGCCCTTTTGTGTTGGAAACGCCCAAACTTTTCTTAATAAAATTTGTATCTCTAATATTGAATAGGGGATTCAAGAAGAAATTCTAAGGAAACGACTCACAAAGAGAAGACGAAATTTATCTGCAATTCGAAGAAAAAAGTTAGTGAGAAAACCTACTCCGGTAGGATTCGAACCAGGGCCTTCCACTTTCAGACACAGTGGTCATACCACAAGGCCACAGAACAGACCTTCCTTCCTTAGCAGATTAGCAGGGAGTGAAGCAGCGATTGTCAATTGCCATTTCATTGGCTGTAACAATCAATTGCATAGGTCCACTGTAAACAATTGCATAGGTCAATTCTGATTCCTATTGGTTGGCTAAACTGCTGCAGAGGAAAGCTCAGCTTCTGATTTGCTAAATCAAATTTCACCGATGCTCCCGCCAAAGATTGCAGAGGTAAAGTCCACTCTGATTGGCTTACAAGACGTTTGCAGAAGTCAAGCAAGCGGTGATTCGCCCTCGAGGGACAAACAAGTTTCTGGATTCAGAATATACGGACCAGATAAATGCCTAGAATCGCCACTCGACTATTCTGTGCAGAGGCCAAAAGGTAGTCAGCAAAGTATATGCCCTGCTGTCTTCTGCATGTTGTTGGTATCAACGGGGACAGATCTAGGGTGGACGTTGCTGAGATTTGCCAAAGAAACTATTCATTAAAAATTTTGATAGTTTCTATTATATTTTGTTGTCGTGAAAATCTCTGCAACGTGGAACTAATTTAGCTTTTGGCTTTTTAAACTTTCGTAACCAAAACTTTTCATGACCGTTTGAATAGAGATTTCTAGGAAAATGAGTGGAAGGTAAGTATACAAGTCTGGTGGTGCTAAGCGAAAAAGAGCGAGACAGAGACAGTTTGAGGTGAAACGGGGTAAAAGAACATTGTTTGATGTAGGATGGTCTTCAAAAGAAAAAAGCAAAGAAGCAAACCATCAAAATCAGGTTTTGCAAAGCCTGAAGGTATTGCCAGATGGCGAAAGCTTCATGATAAAGTAGGTACTCGTGAAAATCTCAAAAGCTGCCATATTACTTGGCAAAAAAGGACATGTGACATTAAGGGTATCAATCATTCAATTTAAGATGTTTTCGCAAGGCAGTTTTTAACAGAAAATGAGAAATGGCGAAATCTTTTGAAGATAATCTTTGATGTTTACTTTTTATTGGAAGGCGTTGTTTAGCTTTTCGTGGTTCTACCCAACTTATTGGTGACTCAAAAATGGAATGTTTTTAGGCCTTATTGAGCTTTTGAGCAAGTACTATCCGCAGCTGTTTGATCATCTGGTAAAAGTAAAAGAATCCCAAGAAACTGGCAAACGATTGCAGGCACATTACTTGTCAGATGATGCTCAGAATGGGTTCATTAACGCCTGTGGACAAATTATAACGGCCAAAGGTATGAAAATGGATCAAACATGTCTGGCAAGCATAAGGGTGCACAGAAAGTCTTTTCGAAAGAAAATCCATTGGCTATATACAGCCCATGGGCATGTCATAGTTTAAATCAGGGTTGCCATATTGGCCTTTTTAAGGCCAAATTTCTCAATTTTGGCCTTTTTTCATGTTGATTTGCCTGAAAAAATAACATTTGGCCTGAGACTAAAATTTGGCCTTTTTTGGCCTGTTTTTTTGAATATATTGAAATAATTTTTTTACTTTGTTTTTGGCCTTTGAACAGTTTTATTCAAACAGTGTATTCTCGCAGTTTCATGACATGGGCTTTGTATTGTTAGTGTGATGTAATTCATCACTTGCCACTTAACATAACGTTAAGCTGTGAATAACCAGCTACAGGGGTCACTGCGCCATAAATATTCAATTCTCCGTTTCCCTTATTTGCGCGAGGTGCAATGCATTGTGGATCCTGTGGTTAAGCGTGCGTTGTTTACATTCGCGTTTCTATCGCAATCGTATACAGTTTTGATCGTCAAGCAGGTAACAAAATGGATTCTAGTGCCGCTTTTGATAAATTGTCATCTCTTTCGACTGCTGAATCTGACCCCAGTTTTTTTCAAAGCTCTCGTACGGGTCAAGGAATGCCTTCGAGTAAAGGAAAACAAGGAAACGACTTAGTCGAAAACAAATACGGGGATGCAAACGGAGATTTGACATGCCCTAAAAATCAAAATGGAGCTGAGGGAAAAACACTACAGAAGCAGAAAATGTATTCAATTGGTGGCTACACTTGTTGTGTTCCTCATTGCTTCAACAATTCTAAAAGAGACCGGCATTTAAGTTTCCATCAATTGCCAAGTGGTTCTAAATCCGAAAAAGTTGAATTAAGGAAGAAGTGGATTTCATTGATAAGCAGAAAGGACTTTACACCAACAGAAGGTCACAGAGTATGTTCTGAACACTTTCCTGGGGGCAAAAAGACATATTTGAATAACTTGCCCTTGAATGTACCCAAAACAACGAGGCCTGCAATTCCGAAACCAAGGACAACATTCAGGGCCAGAAACAGAGATGTGCTAGTGGTTTTAAATCCCAATGAAAATGTTGATATGAGCACGCAGAATGGCTTTTATGATGATGAAAATGAGGGTGAAGCCATCAACCAAACACCAGAAGACGAGGTTATTGCCCTGCAAGATGAACTGCAAGCATTACAGAAGAGGCACATGCTTGAAGTTGAAGCTCTGCAATCAAAATTGTCATTGTTGACAGTAGAGAAAGAAACACTTTTAAAAGCATCTTTTCATGTTGACATTATTAAGAACAATGATGAAAAATTTCATTTTTATACAGGATTGCCTGATTATGAAACTTTTAAAATATTGCACGATTCCTTTGGAAAGCTAACAGAGAAACTAATTTACCATGACTCCAATACAAATGTTGGTAGAATGTCAGAAGAAAGTCAGAAGCGTGGTCCTAAAAGGTCATTGTCATCAGAGCAGGAACTTTTGCTAGTGTTGGCACGTCTTGGCTGTGGTTTATTGGAGGTGGATATAGCACATAGAGCTGGAATTTCATGCTCTCATCTATCCAGGATCTTTATAACTTGGGTAGACTTCTTGCACTCAAGACTAAGAGCTCTTCCCATATGGCCAACAAAGGAAACTATAGTTGAAACAATGCCAAAATGTTTCAAGGAAACATACCCAAGCACTAGGGTTATAATTGATGCAACAGAGAATTTTATTGAGATGCCAAGTTCATTTCGGACACAAAGTGAATCATATTCTAATTATAAGCACCACAATACAGCAAAGGGATTGGTTGGAATTGCTCCATGTGGTTCAGTTACATTTGTCTCTGATTTATATGCAGGACGCTGTAGTGACAAAGTCATTACCAAAGATTGTGGAATTTATGATTTACTGGAGCCAGGGGACTCTGTAATGGCAGATAAAGGCTTTGCAATTTCAGATGATCTGCCACCTTCCACACATCTGAACATCCCACCGTTTTTAAGAGAGAAGGCAAGTTTTACAATAGAGGAGGAAACAGAAACAAGGCGTATTGCCTCAGTCAGGGTGCATGTGGAACGTGTAATTCGTCGCATAAAGACATTTAGAATTTTGAAAACTATGTTTCCTATAAGTATGGCAGCTGACTTAAACAAAATTTGGGTTGTTTGTGCATATCTGACAAACCTATTACCTCCTCTGATTATAGAAGAAACAACACTGTAAAGTGATTTTTAATACCTTTCATTCAAAAGAAAATAAACTTGATTATTTATTATTTAATTACAAGTATGTGTAAGAGTCTTTCATAAAAAAAGAAATTTTAATAGTGGAGATGGAACAGAAACTGTAAATTTTTACAAAGCAGAACTTGTCAACCTAAAACTGAAGAATGCTTATGTTATCAATTTTAGCTAAATCATAGGCTTGGCATCAAAATAGAATGAAAATTCATACTTTACAGTACCGCTATCCAAAAATCATAAGGGGAGGGATTGGGAAGAAATTCTTATCCTTAAGGAGTTATCGTCATCTGACCTTTAAATTTTATAACCAACAATTAAACTGACATATATAGTAACAGGGAGCTTCCTCCCTCCCCCAATATCCTAGATGACCCCCAACCTGAAGTGTTTCTAGCTCGTGGAACAAAAACTAATGTCAAAATCCTAACTACCCCCATCCCCATGATTTACACAACTCCAAGTGCAAGAAGAACTTGAAATAAAAGACACCCTAGCATTACACAGCTCTAAGTAAATATTGTAACCAAGTAAATATTCATCACTTCTCCCTTCTCTCTAGACTTAATAAATGAGACTGAATGTAACAGTTAACTTTAAAAATCCTGTTTTAATAACATAAATTTTTCAAAGAAAATTGTCAGTTTTGTAAGCATGTTGTTTCTCCACAATTCTCTGTCACATTTGATTCTTTGAACATGAAGGTCCTTCAGAGTGAATACCACAAAATCAATGTATGGCAAGCCAACAATGTTCATAATACCCTGGCACTGGTAAAAGTATTGGTGATTTTCTTTTAACTTTGGTCCTGTAGGAGTTGCCTTCAAATAAAAATCTTTTCACTGGCATGCATCAGCAATTGTCATTTCTCTACATGAAATGGGCATTTTATCTCCACACCTCCAACTACATGGCCATTTTCCAGCAAAATGCCATCAGGACTAGCTCCAAGCCAAGGCCACATAGGATTAATAATCAAGCCACAGCAAACAACTTGCAAACCTTCATTCTGGCAGAGCTATGCTTCATAGAAATGCAAAGATGCTGATTTGGGACCTTTTGCAACTTTTGAGTTGCTGATGGTGTCCAAAATGGACTTTGGATAGATTTGCTCTTTCCTTTTCATAACTCTGCCAAACATGGAAGAAGTTATTCATTTTGATCTCTCAAAGTGCCATATCTGTGAGTTACTTTGCTTACGGGTGCTTTCTTCAATGATAAGAGCTTGCTTCATAGTAACTCCAACAGCTTCAGTTACCTTTTGCAATGCCTCTGCTCCAAATTGTGTGGCATCTATATTTTTGGGCAGGAAACTGAAAATGCATTCAGCATTGAAGCCAGTCTCTGATGCAATGGTCTCCTGCACCTGTAGTTCTTTTTCTGCTATGGTACAGGAAGTAACAAACTTATTACAAGGAATACAACTGTTTCCTTTTAAAATGTTCACAAAATGTGATGCCTTCCCTGCATTCTCCAGTGCACTTGCAAATAGTTCAATTTCCTCAGATTTTACTTTTCTGGCATATGATGGGGTAGCACAGAAACCTTCTCTGTTTCCTGTTACAAAAGGCCTTTTCCTCTTCTTGTTTTTGTCTTTTTCAAAATCAGCCTTCTCAAAATCAGTCGCTAAATTTAACTGCAACTTGTGAAGTAATTTTTCGAGTGGGGACACTCCATTTTTGAAGGACTTGTGTGCATGTGACTTCTTCTGGCACATAATGCAGCTTAAGGTTTGAAAAGTCGACAATAGTGTAGAGAAGAGCAGCCACATGCTTGCAGCATCCTCCTTTCCCAGCTTTACAACTGCAATTGGCGTGGACAACACTGGAACTCTCCATGTCCAAACGAACATTGACAGAATACCTTATGCTCTTCATTGACGCTGCAACATTAGCTTTAACTGAAAACAGTTTGGAACCAAAAGCTTTTACATTTGGCTTCACTTTGGTATTTGAAACATACCCTTCCTTCCAAAGTTTATACCCCTCCATTTTGTGACGATATGCTTTCGGGGCTCTCTTGTCTGGCATGGTTTTTGCATTATTTATCAATTGGTTATTGAGATTGTCCTCTGTAAAGTTAGGAAGATCCTTCAGATCAATGCTCCAACCACTTTCCTGGTCAACGAAATCTTCTTGCCTTTTTTCATTTGGGCCTAAACTCCCGGTGGGTGAATTGACGGTCGGAAAACTTGTTTCTATTTGCTCTACTTCCCTCGAAAGCATTCCCTGACCCGTACGAGAGCTTTGAAAAAAACCGGGGTCAGATTCAGCAGTCAAAGAGATGACAATTTATCAAAAGCTGCACTAGAACCCATTTTGTTACCTGCTTGACGATCAAAACTGTATACGATTGCGATAGAAACGCGAATGTAAACAACGCACGCTTAACCACAGGATCCACAATGCATTGCGCCTCGCGCGAATAAGGGGAACGGAGAATTGACATTCACGAGTTAGTTTTCTACAATAACAGGATGTCTCGATGTGAGGCATAACAAAACATCGGCTGTTTTATCGGATATACCACTTCCAACAAGCCTTGTGGACCCTAAAAACTTGATTCATATAACCCTAAACATCAGAAAACTTTCATTTAGATTCACGCGATTGCAATACTCACTGCTCTGTTAAATTTCAATTCGATTTCAATAGTGAGTTTAAGCAAGGAACCCAAAGGTACTAAGTGGAAAGGCTACTATGAAAGTGCTCGAAAGTATAAGCCGCAATGGCAAAGAAAGCATCCTTGGGTAACAAAAGCTGTGGATGGAACAGATGAAGCATACTGCTCTTTATGTAAAGTCAATGTTAACCCAAAGCTTTGTCATATTCAACAACACGAGGCTTCTACTAAACATAAAAAAGCTTCCACTGCAGTTTCTTTGAACAGAAAAATTGTTACTCTTTTGAAGAAAGATGATGAGGTCCTGAAGAAGATCGAGCTCGAGCTTGCTGTTGCTATAAGGTGTCATTGTGCAATTCGGGCAGTTGACCATTTTGGTGAAATAATTGTGAAACACTGAGATAAGAGCAAACTAGGAGAACAGAAGCTTCATCGAACAAAATGCAGCCAATTAATCAAACGCGTAATCTCTCCTGCCCTCTACGACGAGTTACGTAGCAATGTTTCTGGCAAGAAGTTCTCCGTTCTCATAGATGAGTCAACAGATGTATGGTGCAAGAAATATTTGTGTGTAACAGTGCGATATTTCAGCGAAAAGCAAGAGAAAATTTGCACAGCACTTATCAGTTTAGTTTCCCTCGTAAGTGCTACTGGGGAAGATATATTCAATGCCTTAAAACTAAGTCTTGAAGATGCTGGATTAAACTTAGAAGATTGTGTTTTCGATTAAAGAACTGATTCAAACTGATTTTAGAAGATTCGATTAAAGAACTGAATTTGTTCCATAACAGCCTGACCAGTCGAGTTTATCTTCCTGATGGCAGCCACGTAGCATCAGATAAAGTTGGTTATGGTGCTAAGTACATATTTGAACGCAACGAAATGATGGGGAGGAAGCAACTTACTGCTCAACAAGGAAGGGAAATTGATGCAAGATGCCATCACTTGATACTGGAGGCTGCAGCTCAAGTAGCAAAGCGCTTATCAGATTCCAATGCGATTTTTCAATCCATTGCATATCTTAGCCCCTCGAGTGTACTCAGTCAAGTGGAATGTATGTTGCAGCACCTAATTCAAGGCGGTGTTCTGTCAACTATTGATGAACAGTATCGAAAGATAAAATTTATTGACTGGGCCAAAGAGATGAAGGAAGGAATACCACAAGATTCCTCAAAATTTTGGGCTGCAGTATTCTTATACAAAAATGCCCTGGGTGAGAGGCCATTTAAAGAACTCGCAAGCTATGCACTGTCATGCCTCACAACACCAACCAGCAATGCTGTTGTCGAAAGAATATTTTCTTACGTTACTGGAGTCAAAACAAAGCCAAGGAACAAGATGTCTCCTGTCATGCTTGAGGCAATCGTGCGCATCAAAACAAATTTGCATTTCGAAAATAAATGTTGGAAAGACTTTTGTGTCATTCCAAGGATGTTAGAGCTGTTCAATTCGTCCATGTATGCAACAGAAGGAATAAATGAAGATGATGATGATGATGTGATGATGCAAGATGAATAGCTTGTGTGAAACTTTATTATTTTTGCTTCATGCTTTGTTTGTTATTAACTTTAAATTTGTTCTTGTTTATCTTTTATATTTGTTCAGTTGCTTTCAGCTCTCGAGGTTCATGATGTGTTTTCCTAATGTATATCTACGCATGCACATAGCGATGCTTCATGACGTCATTTTAGTTTGGCCTATTTTTGACCAATTTGGCCACTTTTTTAAGCTGGTTTCGCCTGCTCGTTTCCAGACCATCTGGCAACCCTGGTTTAAATCTATGTGGCGTACATGCTGCTGAATGTTGCCCTGATGCAATCAAACTTTTTGGTAACATTCAGAAGCTTTCAATTCCTTCGACTTCAGCCCACCTAGATGGGAAATTCTCAAAAAAATATCGGTGGCTCTTTGCACTGAAGCAGTCAAACAAGGTGATCTGCAACAATAGCGGCTGGCCAGCCTGTGTGCCAAAAATTACCTTCTGTTTTAAAGGCGATATATGAAGTGCAAAATACACTTGATATCTCTCCAGAATCAAAAACGGAAATTTCTAACTTGTGAAAATATTTTCAGTTGTTCAAAGCAATGATTTTGATGACAGCATGGTTTAAAATTTTGAAGGCAATTGACATTAGGGCAAAAGTATTGCAGCTAAGGCAGACAACAATTGATGCTGAGTGGTAAAACCTAGAAACCCTACTAAATGAAATACAACTGTTTAGAGAAAGGTGAGATTCGATCTTGAAAGAAGTTTCTTGTGTAGCTGAGGTGCTAAATGTCCCGAAAAAATTGAAGATCAAGATAAATCAGCCAAATTCATCTGTATCTGAGAGTCAAATCCAGGAACAGGCACTTGGTGATTTCAAGATGAATGTCTACTTGGTCATTATTGATCGTGTTTAAGCAGAGATAAATGGAAGACTCAAGTCCATTGGCGATATGGCAATATGCGAGAGGTTCAATTTTCTTTGGCTATATCCAAGAATGAAGGAAGCTGACCTAGCATAAAAGGTGCCAAACTCAGTGCAGCATACAAGGCTGAAATGTCTCCTGACATCCCAGATGAATTTCTTTTTCTAAAAGCATCCATTCTGGGAATATAGCGGAAGATGCAAATCTGACAAGCTCCTTCAACCATTGCAGCTGCTGAACA